TCAGTAATGTAACACGACCACGGGGCACCCACCATTCTAGCCCACCCTCGCCTCACTCGTTGCCCGCTAGTGACTCTCAAGAACCTACCAAGCAGCCCAGTACCCTCACTCAAAAATACCCCTCAAAGCACCTACTTCCTTCCCTCTGCTCATCCATGCAAAATAGCTAATAACTGCCATGGGTCACCCAGCAGCCCGCCCAGCTTCGCCTGCTTTTGACCAGGTGACCCATTACTTGCCCACATACTTCTCATCACGCACCTCCTTCTCCCGCTGTCCATTTTCAGGAAAAATACGGCTTCGTGACACCCAGCAGCCTCGCCCAGCTTCGCCTGCAGCCTCCCGTGCGTCTCTGCCACGTCAGCAGCCTCTGCTGTGCTGCTGTGGGGATGAACAGTGCGCCGGCGCCGTGGGGGTGGGAGTCGGCGGGACAGAAGTTGGTGCGGGCGAAGCAGGCGTGGAGGGGGGAGGAGAGAGGGGGGAAAGGGTAAACAGCAGAGTGGGTTATGAGAGGGATGTGGGAGACGGTGTTGTAAGTGCGCGGGAGTTGTTGGGGCAGAAATCGGTGTTGGAGAAGCAGGTGCGAGCTGGGAGGGGGAGGGGCGGAGGGGGAAGGGGAGAGGGCAATGGGTGGTGAAGGGAAGGAGTGTTGCAGCCTTGGCAAGGCAAGGAGTGCACTTGAGCAGCCCGCAGGTTTCCCATGAACAGTGCGACCATGTTTCAGGGGCGCCCAGGCAAGGAGCGGTCATTGTGCAGGTTCCCCGTCACGCCCTCTTAGGTTCCCCTTAACGCCCTTTTAGGTTCCCCGTCACGCCCTTTTAGGTTCCCCGTCACGCCCTTTTAGGTTCCCCGTCACGCCCTTTTAGGTTCCCCGTCACGCTCTTTTAGGTTCCCCGTCACGCCCTTTTAGGTTCCCCGTCACGCCCTTTTAGGTTCCCCGTCACGCCCTTTTAGGTTCCCCGTCACGCCCTTTTAGGTTCCCCGTCACGCCCTTTTAGGTTCCCCGTCACGCCCTTTTAGGTTCCCCGTCACGCCCTTTTAGGTTCCCCGTCACGCCCTTTTAGGTTCCCCGTCACGCCCTATTAGGTTCCCCGTCACGCCCTTTTAGGTTCCCCGTCACGCCCTTTTAGGTTCCTCGTCACGCCCTTTTAGGTTCCCCGTCACGCCCTTTTAGGTTCCCCGTCACGCCCTTTTAGGTTCCCCGTCACGCCCTTTTAGATTCCCCGTTCTGCCCTTTTAGGTGCCACTCTAGGACTTGGGAACAATCTAGCAATGCACAGCCTCAGCAGCCCGCAGCAGGTTCACCGTGGGCGGAAATCGATGGGTCAGGAAACCGGGGCAGGAGAAGCAGGTGTTGTGCGGTGCTGGTGGTAAGACGGGAAAAGCGTTGGGTGAGGTGGGAAGGGGAGAGGAAGGGACAGGGCGTGGGTGAGAGCAATGCGTCCACACCATAGGGGCAGATAATTATGTAGGCAAGACGTTAGACTGGGGAAGAGGGGACATGGAGAGGGTTTGGGCAGAGGAAGGGACCGCACCGGGTGAGAGCAGTGCAGCGCCACCGTAGCTACTAGAATCTGGACAGGCGCAGGCATCGGCGTAGGAGAGGAGGGGAAGGAGAGGGTATTGGGAGGGGACAGTGCGTGGGTGAGAATAGTGCGGTGCCACCGTAGCGGCAGAAATTTGTGAAGCAGATTTGTTGACATGGAAGACGAAGGAGCTGGGGGGTGGGTGGACGGGAAGACGGTTGAAGGGTTGGGGAAGGTGAAAGGGGGAGTACAGGGGTGAGCAGTGCGGAGGAGGCGGGGGTGGTGGTGGGGGAGTGGGGGGAGGGGGAGGGTTGGTTGGGAAGGGAGAAAGTATGGGGAAGGGAGGGGATAGTGTTGTGGTGAACAGTGCACCCGCGCTGTGGGGGCCGAGTCCGGCTAATGGGGCAGACGTGGGGCAGACGTGGGTGCAAATCTGTGGGCCAGACGATGTGGGTGAAGGAGATGCAGGTGTGGTGCGGAGCTGGGGGGAAGGGGAGGGGAGTGAAAAGAGGAAAAAGGGCAATGCCTTATAAAAGGGATGTGGGAATCGGTGTCGTAGGGGCGCTAACCTATGGGCCAGAACGATGGATGCGGGGAGAAACGATGTGGGAGACAGTGCTGTAGGGGCGTGACTCCGTGAGTCTGTGGTGGAAAAGCAGTGGAGCTAAGGGGGGGAGGGGAAGAAGGGGGGAAAGAGGTCAAGGGGAAGGGTGACAACAATGGGGTGTGGGATACGCAAATGCGCAGCTGAGTGGATGGGATGGGGGCCAGGTGAGTGGGGGGAATGCAAATGGGGTTTGGGTTGGAAGAAGGAATCAGGAACTGCGAGGGGAGGGGCAGCAATTGGAGGGGGGATGGGGGAAAAGTCTCACCTTGGCTGCAACCACCTTCTCAACTCACCTGGCCTGCCCATCACCTCCTTCCACTCACTCTCACAACCATCCCGCAGCAACTCCCACCTGGGCGACATCCAGCTATCTATTCAACTGCCCCCTTCCCACCGTCGACGGCGGTGAGTCTTGTAATGCCTACACGCATCTCCCCCACCCCCAGCCGACTCTCAACTGCCCCTTGCCAGCCATCCGTGACACCCAACGCATCCTCTATGACCTCCGCCAGCCACATCACCAGCCGCCCCTTCACCGCCCCTTCATTCCCCATCACCTCCCTCTTCACTGCTCCCACGAGTGACTCTCTTACACACACACCACTACCCCACAGAGTCCCCTCACTGACTCTCACACACCACTACCCCACAGATTCCTCTCACTGACTCTCACACACCACTACCCCACAGATTCCTCTCACTGACTCTCACACACCACTACCCCACAGAGTCCCCTCACTGACTCTCTCACACACATACCCACCCGTGACCGCTCTCATCTTGGCAATACCAATCTTTTCCACAGTACTACTCCCATCGTTGACACACACTCACCCATTCGTATTGCAAATCCATCTGAAGCCACAAGAGCAGCAGGCGTGTCATTGCTGAAGAGGCACTTGTGTTGTGAGCAGCCATTTGAAGCTCGCGTCCTTTCTGCCACCTCCCCATGTGACAGGGAAGGACAGGGAGCCATTAGGTGTGTCAGTTGTCGCTGTGAACAAAACGATAGTCGATGTGGATGTGCGCGCTACGAAGTTGGTATTTATGGTGCGGCAACATGCTGTGCCACCGGCACCATGCAAAAATAGTATCCCTCAGTATTTGTCCAATCTGTCCCACATCATTATCGTCGAGCCTTTTGTTTAATGCGTCATGTAGCTATGTGTCCCATAAAGCCCATGAGCGTCAAACTGGATGCTAGACTGCACTCATCTACGCACTGGCTACACAACGGCTTGCTGTTGTGAAGCCATGCGGGGGCTAACGAAATGACGAAAAGCTGCAGCGTACTGTCAGCGTCACCACGTCCTTGCAACCGTCTGGCTCACCGTCTTTGAGAGTGCATAAGCACGGCGCCCACCACATTGCCGACGCCTCAGAGGGTGTCTGAAAGAGAAGCTCGAAAGAGCATATGCCAGTGCATGCAGCAAATCGCCACCGTATCATCATCCAACCCAAGTGAACGGGGCTTCGCGCGTCCGTCAAGAGAATTCTGGCGACCCGAAGGCGTTTGTGGCAGGAATCACATCAGCGAAGTGCGGATCTCCGTTCACGGGGTTGATTCCAACCGCAGCAAAATGGGTCGTCCCGCAGTAAGCGGCACGGGCAAGAAGACGAAAGCGGGAGACTACGGCGTGTAAGATATCTGGATATTGAAATTCGGTATACGGAGTGTAACGCATGACCTACTTTGCCTAATCTACCGCTAGCTTCCTAAGTCAACATCGAGAGAGTTTCTCGATGAGAAATGACTCGATGGGAATTGGGAAGGTTGAGTTGGAGGGAAAGGTTGGTTGGGTTGTTCCAAACCTCAACCTTGAGGCTTGGAAACTTCCAACCCATCAAAGTGAAGATTGGGAAGGTTGGATTTCCAACCAATCAAGTTGTGCCAGTTGTTGTTACAATCCAACCAAACAACAAAACAACCATACAACACAATTAAGTTGGGTTTTCCCAACCAAACAAATATGCCACCTAGGCTCCAAGCCTAGAAGCTCCCCAACCATGGAAGCCATGGTTGGGAAGAGCCCCAAGGGGTATTGTGGAAGGGGTTGGAGCTTTCAAGCTCATTCCCACTTCCCAACTCCAACTTACCAACTTGGAAATGGGATTTCTCTAAGTCATTTTTGGCTCTCCTAACAAGCTCTCCTACACAACTAGACTTGTGATTTTTCAAGGACAAGCTCTACAAGAAGCTCCTACCTACTTGCTAAAGCTTCATCAACCTTCTTCAAGCTCTCTTTCTCCTCTCAAGCTTCAAGAGTATTATCAATGCTGGTTTATCCCTTGGTGGGATTAGTTTAATCTTGGAAGCCTTGTATCTTGATTTTATATAAATTGTCAAGGAGGATTTATATTAAACACACGGTTGCCCGTTGTTATAAGGGCCGTGGTTGTTACATTGGTATCTAGAGCTAGGGTTATCCTAAGCCTAGTGGGAAGTTTGCCTCTAGAGATTTTTTTTTATATATAGATCTTGGAGTTGTGGTTTCTCTTTAAGAGAACACTCAAGATCTGGAAGCTTGAAGAGTTCAAGATCTACAAGATCTACAACCGCTAAGAAGAGAGATTTATCTCTCTTGCCCACCTTTTGGTGGAAGACTCTCTACTGTTGAGTAGTGGAGTATAAACTTGGATCTGGTAGATTTGTTGAGGGTTATACAAGTTCTCTTTATTGAGATTTGGATAGACCCTGCCCTTTCACTTAGGTGATTGGGAGTGTTTGCAACAAATCTGTTACCTTTGGTAATGCTTGAGTATTCTGTAGAAGAAATTTCTTTTATAAGAATTTCTTGCTTTACCATTGAGGTGGTAAAAGGACTTTAACAGAATCAACCCAGATCTTACAAGCTCCCTTAATCCTTATGGCATCTGGCCAAGAGAAGGATATGGCAAGGGAGGAAGGGCCCACTGCACCTAATGAGGTGGTGAACAATGCTGCTGAAATTGACTTCAATCAAGATGAGGCAATGACTGATCTTGAGTTGGATAATATTGAGGACCTGGACCTGGACCTTGGAGATGAGCATAACCATGGTGAAGCTGAGAACCATGGTGAAGCTGAGAACCATGGTGAAGCTGAAAACCATGGTGAAGCTGACAACCATGGGGAAGAGGATAACACCGGTGGAAGGGAGGCCACTGCTGATGAAAATGACTTCACTGAGGGTGAAGACATGACTTATCCTATCTCCGAGGAGATTGTCCAACTCCAGGCTAAAGTGGCAACTCATAATATCACAATCCTGCAGCAGCAAACGTCCATTGATGGACTCAAAAAGCACACTCAGGACCTCGAGGCTAGGCTGCGCATTACCATGAAGGAGGTTACTGCGTTCCGTCGCAGCCTGGGCACTAAAAACCGCCAAATTGAGTGGCTTCAGAAGACTTGCAATAATCTGCAAGCATCATTCAACAAGTTCAGTGAGCAGTTGACCCATCTTAGGAGGGAGGGTATTTACGAACCTCCTCCTGGGCGTAGGCCCGCTCCTGCTGCTCAGCCGGCTCCTGCTTCGCCCGCACCTATGCCGGTAGGCGCTGCGACGGCTATGCACCAGCCACCTCCAACCGAGACCTCGCCCTTTGGGTCTCTCTCGGCGCCTCTGCCTGAGTTTAACCATAGCAAGACGGAGGTGCAGCCTTGGCTTGATCTGGTGAATGACACCATGATCCTTGCGAATGTGCGTCCTGAGGCTCGCGTTACCGCAGCTACTCGTGCATTGGACGAGGTGGCCCGCAGGGCAGTGTATGGCGCTAAGAAGCAGGCTCAGTGACCGTTTGGATGGTCGGAGTTCTGCACCGCGCTGAAAGAGGCATTCATGGTCAAGAAGTCTGACCTGGAACTTCGTGGACGCCTTGAAAGGATCAAGTGTCGTGACCGTTCGGTGCAGGAATATGCGGTCGAGTTTGAGGCCGCAGCTCGCTTGCTCCAAAAGCTCTTGTCTGAGGAGGAGATGATGCACACCTTCATGAAAGGCCTCCCTGTCAACCTGCAGCAGGCACACATGACCGGTGGCATGACCAATTGGACGACTTACAAGGAGATGAAGGAGCAGGTGATCAAAACTGACAACATCATCCGCACGTACATTTATGGTCCTGCAAAGCCAGACCAGCAGCCCCGTGCTGAGGGCTCTGGTGGTCGTGGGAACCGAACCCAGAATGCCAATGGCGGAGGCGGTTCGAACAAGCGACATTTCCAGCAGCGTGATCACCAGCCTAGGCCACAGGCCAAGAGGGCTAACGGGGGGGAAGGTCATGGCCCTAACAAGCCGGACTTCTCCAAGACGCGGTGTAACGGCTGTAGATTTATTGGACACATCCAAAGGCAGTGCCGTAACAAGAACCCAATCAAGTACTCTGGGAAGCCTAAGCCAGGCGGCGCTGGACCTTCTGGAAAGAAGGATTTTCAGAAGCCCAACTAGGGTGTGGGTACCTAGTTGGAGGAGTAGATCGAGTGGATGAGGCATATGTGTTATGTGATGATGATATATTAAAGCTAGAGAAGCTTGCTGATTGCAAAATCTCTTGTTTGTTTGCCTCTTCTTTTAATAATAACTCTGTTTTTTATCCTCGATCGTACCCACTTGAGAACATTTCTATGGAAGCTATGCAAGATAAGTTTTCAATTATTTTCTGTGGCTTGGACATTCTGCCTTCTGTCATTGAAATTGTGAGTCGTTGCACTCAAGAGCACCCCCTGACTTCGGTCGCGTTGGTGACTCGCACAGTGAAAGGCGAATTGTTCCATGCGCTTCGTGGATGGCCGGTCCTAGCGGCGTGGGACAAGGGACACCATGTGTGGTGGACCAACTCTCAGTCACATGGACGCTCTCGTCACAACGTCAAGGTGTACTACAAACCTTCGACGAGTATTGTGGCATGTCCTATTCGCCCAAAGCATCAACAGAATCTGTTGCTTGAGGGTAGCGTGAACGGGGAAAATGCAAAAATCCTTGTTGATACGGGTGCAACTGTTTCCCTCTTTAACGAAAAGTGTGTCGCAGCACGCACGATCCTCGTTGAAGGACCGTCTTGCTCCATTCGTCTTGGCGATGATAGCATTATCCCAAGCAAAGGGCGGACACGGATCAAGTTGGAGATTGAGGGATATCGCGAAGAAATTTTCGCATATGTGTTACTCATTCTCGCAGGCGTCGACCTTGTCCTTGGAATGGATTGGCTTCGAGCGAATGAAGTCAAACTCGATTTTCAGGACAATACGGTCTCATTCTCAAAGAATGATGATACTGTCCAGTGGCAAGTACCCAAGGACTTGGTCACAAACGACCAACCCACGTTGGAACGCCCCGACGCGAGTTTTGCGCTTGCAAATGAGTTTGGACAGCATGTTCGTCAAGCTGATACATTCTTTGTGGTACAGCTAGAGAATGCTGAACACGAGCAGCCTGGGGTCGAAGATTTTCCGCCTCAGATGAAAGCACTGGCAGACGAGTTTGCAGAGGTTTTTGAGCCCATCCCAGATGGCCTTCCTCCGGACCGTGCTGTCGGTCACACCATCCCAGTGGAGCCTGGAAAACTCCCACCGTTTAGACCTCTGTATCGCCTCAGTCCAGCTGAGTACGAGGAGGCTAAACAACAAATCGAAGAGTATCTCAGGAAAGGATGGATTGAACCAAGCGCATCACCTTACGGAGCGCTGATCTTGTTCGTGAACAAAAAGGGCGGAGGATTACGCATGTGCGTAGACTACCGTGATTTGAACAAGATAACAGTGAAAAACAGATACCCCTTGCCAAGGATTGAGGATCTGTTTGACAAACTTCAAGGTGCTCAGTGGTTTAGCGCACTAGACCTCGCACAGGGGTATCATCAATTGCGCATCACTGAAGAAGATGTACCCAAAACTGCTTTCCGTTCACCGTTTGGTCATTTTCAATGGCGAGTGCTGAGCTTTGGCTTGACCAATGCTCCTGCCTCTTTTCAGAGGGCCATGAACGATGTCTTTCGCGAGGCGATTGGACAGTTCGTCCTGGTCTATCTGGATGATATCTTGGTTTATTCCAAGACAGAAGAGGAGCACACACGACACCTTAAGTGGGTGTTGGGGAAACTAAGAGAGCACAAGTTCTATGCTCGTCTGTGGAAATGTCATTTCTACAAACGCGAGTTGGAATATCTTGGCCATCTCGTGGGACATGACGGTCTTAAAGTAGACCCGAAGATGTGGGACAAATCAGGTCATTTTGGGGATTGGCAAACTATTTTCGTCGATTCTTGCAGAATTATTCTACCATTGTTGCTCCATTGACAGCCCTCACTCATAAGAGTAGCGCTTGGCAATGGACACAGCAATGCCAAAAGTCATTCGACGAGGTCAAGCGGACCAACGCTCCGGTACTGGTTTTACCAGATCCGACGAAACCCTATGAGGTCGTTACCGATGCCTCCTTAATAGGGATTGGGGCTGTCCTCTTGCAAGAGGGGAGACCAGTGGCATTTGAGAGTCGAAAGCTCTCCCCGGCAGAGCAGCGCTATACGACGTCCGAACAGGAACTGTTGGCGGTCGTTCATGCGCTACGAACATGGCGATGTTATCTGGAGGGTGTGGACTTGGTGGTTACGACCGACCACTGTCCAAACACCTACTTCTCCACCCAGGCCACGCTTACTCGACGACAAGCCCGATGGGCGGAACTCCTTAGCGGGTTCACTTTCGATATTCGATACCGAGCAGGTTCGACGAACCTGGCTGACCCCCTCAGCAGACAGCCGATAGGGGCAGCAACACGGCTAGACGACACAGAGGATGCAGCGGTATTTTCTGCTTGCTTCAGTGTCCTAGCAACGGCTCGAGTGAGTGAGATTACCTTCAGTGGTTTTCTGAAACGCATCCGCACAGGGTATCAACTTGATCCCTGGTTTCAGAACCCACGAAACATGAAGGAACTCAAGTGGGAGCATGAGCTCTGGTGGCGTAAGAATGAGATTGTTGTACCTCACGTGGGCAACCTGCGGAATGATATTCTGGAAGAAGTGCATGCCGCTAAGTACGGAGGACACCTAGGGGTCAAGAAGACCAGGTGGGCCCTGAGTGATGTGTACTGGTGGCCGGGATTAGGCACCGAGGTCCGGCAATTCGTGGCGCGCTGCGATGCATGCGCACGGAATAAAACGGACACAAAGAAGCCTGGTGGTCTGCTTCAACCACTCGAAATCCCGAATGAACCTTGGGAGAGCGTATCCTTGGATTTCATCACGGATCTTCCCAAGACTCGCGATGGTCATACGGCGGTCCTAGTGTTTGTGGATCGTCTGACAAAAATGGTACATTTTGTGGCTACGACAACTGACGTATCTGCGGAGGATACGGCCAAATTGTTTGTGGCGCACATTTTCCGCTTACATGGGTTACCACGTGTCTTGGTGTCTGACCGGGATCCGCGTTTCACAAGCCGGTTCTGGCAAGAAGTTACTCGGACACTGGGAACGAAGCTTAAGTTGTCATCGGCGTTCCACCCACAAACGGATGGGCAGACGGAATGAACAAACCAAACACTCACTTGAGCAGATGCTTCGTTCATTCATTGGCCCAACTCAGGATGATTGGGACGAGTTGCTACCTGTCATTGAATTCGCAGTGAGTAATTCAGTTCATGAGGGTACACATGAGAAACCTTTCATTCTGAACTATGGTCGGCATCCCACAACACCTGCTACGCATGGGACCGGTGGATTGAAGATTCCAGCCGCAAAAGACTTTGTTGGCAAGCAGCAAGAAGCGCTTAAGTCTGCTCGCCATTGGCTGCAACTCTCTCAGCAGCGACAAAAGTCTTACGCCGACATGAAACGCCGGGAAGTCTCATTTGAAATCGGAGACAAAGTTTTGTTGAGCACGAAAAACATTCGTCTCAAAATCCCTGGAGCACGAAAGCTATTCCCTCGATGGATTGGGCCTTTCGAGGTGATCAAGCGTGTTGGTGTGGTAGCTTACAAGCTTAAGCTGCCTGATACATTGCAGATTCACAACGTCTTCCATGTGTCTATGTTGAACAAGTACGTTGCAGAGGGCAAGTATTTGCCGCCACCAACGATCGTCCAGGGGGAGGAACTGTTTTATGAAGTCGAACGAGTGCTAATGCATCGTGATCGACAGCGCGGCCGCAAGACAGTAAGAGAGTTCCTCATTAAGTGGAAAGGCTATGGGCCTGAACACAACTCATGGGAGCCAGAAGAGCATTTGACTGAAACTGCAGTTCAGTCATACATGATAGATCTGGCCCGACGAGCTGCCACACAGCCAGTGGATGGTGTTGACCCTGGTCGTAATGTGACACGGCGTGCTCGAAGCGCTCGTCCTCAGAAGCACCCTAAGGCAACGGGGACGTTGCCACCTAGGGGGGGAGGAGTGTAACGCATGACCTACTTTGCCTAATCTACCGCTAGCTTCCTAAGTCAACATCGAGAGAGTTTCTCGATGAGAAATGACTCGATGGGAATTGGGAAGGTTGAGTTGGAGGGGAAGGTTGGTTGGGTTGTTCCAAACCTCAACCTTGAGGCTTGGAAACTTCCAACCCATCAAAGTGAAGATTGGGAAGGTTGGATTTCCAACCAATCAAGTTGTGCCAGTTGTTGTTACAATCCAACCAAACAACAAAACAACCATACAACACAATTAAGTTGGGTTTTCCCAACCAAACAAATATGCCACCTAGGCTCCAAGCCTAGAAGCTCCCCAACCATGGAAGCCATGGTTGGGAAGAGCCCCAAGGGGTATTGTGGAAGGGGTTGGAGCTTTCAAGCTCATTCCCACTTCCCAACTCCAACTTACCAACTTGGAAATGGGATTTCTCTAAGTCATTTTTGGCTCTCCTAACAAGCTCTCCTACACAACTAGACTTGAGATTTTTCAAGGCCAAGCTCTACAAGAAGCTCCTACCTACTTGCTAAAGCTTCATCAACCTTCTTCAAGCTCTCTTTCTCCTCTCAAGCTTCAAGAGTATTATCAAGGCTAGTTTATCCCTTGGTGGGATTAGTTTAATCTTGGAAGCCTTGTATCTTGATTTTATATAAATTGTCAAGGAGGATTTATATTAAACACACGGTTGCCCGTTGTTATAAGGGCCGTGGTTGTTACACGGAGCGACTCCGAGAGTCTGCTGCTGCCTGCGAGAAGCTGTGCGCGGCTCGTCGCATCGCTGCGCGGCGAGAGAAGCGCCTCAATGTACTCAACATCCGTTGACGCTGATCGCCCCCGTGGCTTCGTGCCGCTACTAGTAGTGGCGGAGTAGCTGATGCGGTACCAGAGAATCCCGTGGGTGACGATGACATTTCTTTGACATTGTGTCGCCGAATCACTCTCGCTTCTGGTCTACTTCTGAAATTTGTCGCATGCGAATGTTTCGCCTGACGTGTGTCGCAGCGACGAGTTCCTGCTTAGGCAAAAGCTCGTTAGTGTTTAGCAACTTAGCTTTTTGATAGGAAAAGAATATGATCGGTTTTCCAGGATGGGGCGCACCAGGAAACCAAGTGCAATCGGAGTCCAACCCCACCTATTTCAATATTTTGTGCGACAAGACATCTTTCCCTGCACGAGCAATGACGACGTTCATACAGCGGGTTTCAAGAAATCATATTCGTCACCTAGAGACGAATCGGGTGCAGATGGGTTGGTTACCTGAAATATAACCAGCGAAGCCTTGGCGGGAACGATGGGAACTCGTCAATTCGAAAAAACCCAAACCTGAACTTCCCAGCCTTGGGTTCTCCAAAATGGTCGGCTCCAGTCTTGTCAGCCAGGGAACGTTCGATTTTCTGTAGGTTCTCAAATCCGCCCTCATTCCTCCCAACCAGCCCCAGGTAGCTCCGTGCGTCACCAGTTGCCACATGTGACCAACCTAAGGTGTCTCATTTGTCTGGTCCGCTCCGGCCTGGTCCGTTGCTGAAATTTGCACGCCTGGTCCGAAATTCCGGTCCGACGGACCCACTTCGCGGACCAGGCGTGGACCGGACACGGACTGGTCTGCGTAATAAAGTTTTTGCGAAAAACAAAAAGCACGCAAAGCAGAAATGCTGAAATCGAGTTACCATCTTCTGTTCCAGGCATGATTTTGCGCCCAGTCGAGCACGAAAGACATGTATGGCGAGATATTTCGCAAACAAACGTGAGAACCGCTACAGTTTCGGACCAGGCACGGGCTGGTCTGCTGACCAGGTCAACGGCACCGTTGTAGTGCCATTTGAAATCTATGACGGGGTGAAAACTCCCGCATCCCATTCCAGTCCGTCGCTGGTTCACGTGTTGGTTCTCGAGCTGGTCCGTCGGGTCCGCCTCGGACCCACATGGACTCGCCTAGTTGAGACACGTCCTAACCCTAATCTTGATAGATGGCCCTGTTCGATAGGCAGGCAAGCCCTTCCGCGGAATCATCGCGACTGTTTCGAATTAGGGTTTTTTCCCACGGTCAGCCCGTAATTTGGTGTCACTGGGCTTTAAGCCCCTTGAACCAGAAGGGTTAGTGTTAGCATGTCGAACGCCACTTTAAAGCCCGGGGGTCAGCATGGCAAAGCGGTTTCTGTTTATAAAGCTTTAAAAACTAGTTTACGAGTAGCGAGAAATATTTTCGTTGAACCCCCACTGGCGAAGCAACACACATGTTCGTCACACATGTTTGGGGTCGACAAGAGGCGCTTTGGCGACCAGGCATGCGACCCGTCACAAGCCAAGGAGCCGAAACCAAACAGGATGGTGGAATTGCTCCAGCAGGAAACGAGCACAAGCAACGCAACCAATCAGAGAACGGAAAACAAAAAAACGGGGGGATACTACTCGGTGATGGGGTGAACAAAGTATGGAGTGTGGTTGGTAGAATGAACGTGCAACACCAACCACAAACTCTGTCACACAGACGATCTTGAGTGAGCATCGATGAATGTCACCAGCTGGATGCACGACTACCTACCGTGAGACAGAGACAAGACAGGAGGATAGCAATAATGCGCAACACGCCAGCCGTTTATACCGCGTCGCAGGAGAACGCAACAGCCGTGTTCCCAACTGTGTTTTCAGACGGAACGCATTGGCGAGAGCGAGCACGAGATAGATGGACAGAAAACAGGACCTGCTTTGCGGACAGATGGTTTAGAGTCATACACGTTCATACGAGCCTTGCCCTTTGCGCCCGCACTTCATCCAGACAAACACTGTGCCATCAATCGGTCAGTGCCAACGATTCGGCTTAGTGTCCTCGCCTTTGGGGGGACGGACAAGGGAAGTTGCGGATGTGAGCTAGAGACGGAGCGTGGAAGGGAGAACAACGGCAAAACGCGCGTCGAAGGAGGTCAGCGACAGACAACGTCTGCGAACCGCAAGGATAATCGGTAAGCGAAGGGAGGGATATCCGTAAAGGGAAGCGTGGCTGCCACGCGTCACCGCGACGAGAGTTAGCAGAACTAAAAGCAGATGGGAGCCACAGCCACGAATTTACAACAGCTGTGGTTTCAGAGTACACTCACACGTGAGCTTCCACGCGTCGCAGTAATTTGGCGAATGCGACATAACTCGCATGGCAGGGCCGGAGCAGTCCTTGCTGTGAATGTGGGATGTCAAGAGTCGAGGAAGCGAAACCGGGATAAAACATGTGTTCGCGTGTAGCTGGAACTCCCAAGCGCTCCACATGTGATGTCTCTCTGCCGCCACAGAAAGATGCGTCACAGCTGCAATTGGATCTTCTTCCGCGTCACTGCTGTTGCTCTCAGCGCGTGAGAGGGTGTGCTGCAAATGTCAGATCACCTGTTTACTACGCTGCTTCTAAGCATGCGTAAGCATCCTGGTAGGCACAGCAGCACAAGGGGGTCACACCCTTTGCATTTTACTTGGAACTCATTCCTTTCCCATTTTCCAGCTATCCGAAGAACGTCTCGCTGCCGTTGAATCTTTCTTCTCTTTCATTCCTTATCTCATTTTCCAGGTATCCGAAGGACGTGTTGCGCCAGCAGTTGCACTACTGTGTTGGTTTGTCATCCATCCATCTAGGCGGCGGCGAGAACAACAGCACAACGAGCTGCTGCCTAGGCAGGTCAGTTCTCAACCAACCATCCCTCTCTAGTGCCCCACGCTTAGCAGTGCGAGGTGCTGAATCATTGGCTGAGTCATTTGCATGGCACATCATAACCTGTTCACATCCCCCTCCCTGCTTTTCCCCATCCCCTTCCCTGCTTCCACCCATCCCCTTCCCTGCTTCCCCATGTCCCCTTCCATGCTTCCCCCCTCCTCTACCGTGCTTCCCCCCTTCCCCTTACCTGCTTCCCCCCATTCCCTTCCCTGCTTCCCCCCTCCCCTCCCCTGCTTTCCCCCAGTCCCCTTCCATGCTTCCCCTTGTCCCCTTCCCTGCTTTCCCATGTCCCGTTCTTTGCTTCCCCCCATCCCCTTCCCTGCTTTCCCCCATCCCCTTCACTGCTGCTTCCCCCCGTCCCCTTCCCTGCTTAGAGCCAAACCCTTCCCTGCTCCCCCCCCTCCCTTCCCTGCTTTCCCCAATCCCCTTCCCTGCTTCCCCTTGTCCCCTTTCCTGCTTTCCCATGTCCAGTTCTCTGCTTCCCCCCATCCCCTTCCCTGATTTCCCCCATCCCCTTCCCTGCTTCCCCATGTCCCCTTCCCTGCTTCCCCCCATCCCCTTCCCTGCTTCCCCCCATCCTCTTTTCTGGGACCCCGCCTCCCCTTCCCTGCTTTCCCCCATCCCCTTCCCTGGTTTCCCATGTCCCGTTACCTGCTTCCCCATGTCCCCTTCCCTGCTTCCCCCCCCCTTCCGTGCATCCCCCCTTCCCCTTACCTGCTTCCCCCCATCCCCCTCCCTGCTTCCCCCCCTCCCCTCCCTTCCCTGCTTCCCCCCATCCCCTTCCCTGCTTCCCCATGCCCCCTTCCCTGCTTTCCCCCATCCCCTACCCTGCTTCCCCCCCTCCCCTTCCGTGCTTCCCCCCTTCCCCTTCATTGCTTCCACCCATCCCCCTCCCTGCTTTTCCCCATCCACTTCCCTGCTTCCACCAATCCCCTTCCCTGCTTTCCCCCATCCCCTTAGCCTGCTTCCCCCCCTCCCCTTCCCTGCTTTTCCCCATCCCCTTCCCTGCTTCCCCATGTCCCCTTCCCTGCTTCCCCCCATCCCCTTCCCTGCTTCCCCCCATCCCATACCATGCTCCCCCCCATCCCCTTCCCTGCGTCGCCCCACCCCTTCCCTGCTTCCCCATGTCCCCTTCCCTGCTTTCCCCCCCTCCCTTTCCCTGCTTCCCCCCTTTCCCTTCCCTGCTTCCCCTCATCCCCTTCCCTGCTTCCCCATGTCCCCTTCCCTGCTTCCCCATGTCCCCTTCCCTGCTTCCCCATGTCCCCTTCCCTGCTTCCCCCCATCCCCTTCCCTGCTTCCCCCCATCCCCTTCCCTGCTTCCCCCCATCTCCTGCCCTGCTTCCCCATGTCCCCTTCACGGCTTCCCTCCAACCCCATCCCTGCTTCCCTTCCCTGCTTCCCCATGTCCCCTTCCCTGCTCCCCCCCATGTCCCGTTCCCTGCTTCAGTCGTTGCCAGGAGTTTGATGCTGGTTTTTTATTTATTCGGCTTTCTCGGGCACAACAGCTCAACGCACCGCTCCCTTGGTAGGTCAGTGATCATCCCGGCATCCCTGTTACGCAACAACTCTACCCCTCCATACATTTCACCGACGCCGCCACCCCCCGCCAATCCCCTCTGCTGGGTGTACATGGACATTTTCAGCTCCACCGTCCCGCGTCGCTCCGCTTGCATCTCACAATATATTGGTGTAATGGCTCCCCGTGGCGTGGCTGATCCAGTCGTAGATCTGATTTTGTGCATGCGTAGGGGTGGGGAGTGGGGCGAGGGAGAAGAAGGGAGTGAGTGGAGAGCAAGGGTATGAGCATGGCAGGAAGGACAGAGCACAGGCATGGGATGGGTTGTATTGAAGGATGAGGACATCACCTGGAGATAGTGCATAGGGTATGGGGTAAAGCAGGGGTGGGGATGGGGGGAAGAAGAGAAGGGGATGGGGGAAAGCAGGGAATGGAATGGGGGGAAGCAGGGAAGGGGATGGGGGGAAGCAGACAAGGGGATGGGGGAAAGCATGGAAGGGGATGGAGGGGGAGCAGGGAAGGGGACATGGGGAAGCAGGGAAGAGGGCATGGGGAAGCAGGGAAAGGGATTGGGGGAAGCAGGGAAGGGGATGGGGGGAAGCAGGGAAGGGGATGGGGGGAAGCAGGGAAGGGGATGGGGGGAAGCAGGGAAGGGGATGGGGGGAAGCAGGGAAGGGGATGGGGGGAAGCAGGGAAGGGGATGGGGGGAAGCAGGGAAGGGGATGGGGGAAAGCAGGGAAGGGAATCGGGAGAAGCAGGGAAGGGGATGGGGGGAAGCAGGGAAGGGGATGGGGGGAAGCAGGGAAGGGGATGGGGGGAAGCAGGGAAGGGGATGGGGGAAAGCATGGAAGGGGATGGAGGGGGAGCAGGGAAGGGGAGGGGGGGAAGCAGGGAAGGGGATTGGGGGAAGCAGGGAAGGCGATGGGGGAAAGCAGGGGCGGGGATGGGGGAAAGCAGGGAAGGGGAGAGGGGAAGCAGGGAAGGGGATGGGGGAAAGCAGGGGCGGGGATGGGGGAAAGCAGGCAAGGAGAGGGGGGGAAGCAGGAAAGGGGATGGGGGAAAGCAGGGAAGGGGATGGGGGAAAGCAGGGAAGGAGAGGGGGGGAAGCAGGGAAGGGGATGGGGGGAAGCAGGGAAGGGGATGGGGGGAAGCAGGGAAGGGGATGGGGGGAAGCAGGGAAGGGGATGGGGGGAAGCAGGGAAGGGGATGGGGGGAAGCAGGGAAGGGGATGGGGGAAAGCATGGAAGGGGATGGAGGGGGAGCAGGGAAGGGGATTGGGGGAAGCAGGGAAGGCGATGGGGGAAAGCAGGGGCGGGGATGGGGGAAAGCAGGGAAGGGGAGAGGGGGAAGCAGGGAAGGGGATGGGGGACAGCAGGGGCGGGGATGGGGGAAAGCAGGGAAGGAGAGGGGGGGAAGCAGGGAAGGGGATGGGGGAAGGCAGGGAAGGGGATCGGGGGAAGCAGGGAAGGGGAGGGGGGAAAGTAGGGAAGGGGATGGGGGAAAGCAGGGAAGGGGATCGGGGGAAGCAGGGAAGGGGACATGGGGAAGCAGGGAAGGGGGCATGGGGAAGCAGGGAAGGGGATGGGGGGAAGCAGGGAAGGGGATGGGGGGAAGCAGGGAAGGGGATGGGGGGAAGCAGGGAAGGGGATGGCGGAAAGCAGGGAAGGGGATGGGGGGAAGCAGGGAAGGGGATGGGGGGAAGCAGGGAAGGGGATGGGGGAAAACAGGGAAGGGGATCGGGGGAAGCAGGGAAGGGGAGGGGGGAAAGCAGGGAAGGGGATGGGGGGGAAATAGGGAAGGGGATGGGGGGAAGCAGACAAGATCCAGTCGTAGATCTGCTTTTGTGCATGCGTAGGGGTGGGGAGTGGGGCGAGGGAGAAGAAGGGAGTGAGTGGAGAGCAAGGGTATGAGCCTGTTTGGGAATGACAGTGCACAGGCGTGGGATGGCTTTTCAAGCAGGTTGTATTGAAGGATGAGGACGGGAGGGAGCAAGGAAGGCGACAAAGGGGGGAGCAGGGAAGGGGAGGGGGGTAAGCAGGGAAGGTGAGGAGGGGAAGCAGGGAAGGCGCCAAAAGGGGGAGCAGGGAAGGGGAGTGGGGGAAGCAGGGAAAGGGACATGGTGAAGCAGGGGAGGGGATGGGGGGAAGCAGAAAAGGGGAGGGGGGTAAGCACGAAAGGGGAAGGGGGTAAGCAGGGAAGGGGATGGGGGGAAGCAGGGAAGGGGATGTGGGGAAGCAGGGAAGGGGACATGGGGAAGCAGGGAAGGGGATGGGGGGAAGCAGGGAAGGGGACATGGGGAAGCAGGGAAGGGGACATGGGGAAGCAGGGAAGGGGTGGGGCGACGCAGGGAAGGGGAAAGGGGGGAGCAGTGAATGGGATGGGGGGAGGCAGGGAAAGGTGACAAGTGTGTGCGATGGGAAGGGAGACGGGAGGGATGGCGAGGGCGACGGGGAGAGAGGAAGACGGGGATTGCGAGGGAGGCAGGGCGACGGGACGGTGGGAAGGCTACGGGCGGAAGGGAGAGCGGCGTACGGAAGGGAGAGCGACGGACGGAACAGAGAGCGATGGGCGGAAGGGTGGGCGACGGATAGAAGGGTGGGCGACGGGAGGAAGGGTGAGCGACGGGCGGAAGGGTGGGCGACGCGCGGAAGGGTGGGCGACGGGCGGAAGGGAGGGTGACGGGCGGAAGGGAGGGTGACGGGCGGAAGGGAGGGTGACGGGCGGAAGGGAGGGTGACGGGCGGAAGGGAGGGTGACGGGCGGAAGGAACTGTGACGGGAGCGACGATCGGATGGGAGGGCGACGTGTGGAAGGTAGAGCGACGATCGGATGGGAGGGCGACGGGCGAAAGGTAGAGCAACGAGCAAGGCGACGCGCAGAAGGGCGGGCGACGAGCGGAAGGGAGGGAAGCGAATGGAAGGGAGCGACGGTTGGAAGCGTGGGCGACGAACAGATGGGAGCGCGATCGTGGACTACGCGAGGCAACGAGTTACGAGAGCCAAAGAACCTTGGTGTCGCGGGCGAGCGAGGGCGAATGGGGGAACGGAAGGTCCAAGAAACCGGGCTCTAGACTAGGGAGAATGTCGCAGTCGCATCGGCGGCGTGTTCGTACATGTGTTGTGTGCAAAAAGGTGCAGTTTTTTGGGGCGTGACATACGGGTGAACTTAGTATAGGATGCTTGACAATTAGTACCAGATGGTTTCCAAGTTCACTTCAGGTGAACAGTGCTGCCTTGCCTCCCGACCCTATGCTCGATGTGACTTTGAGTGTCGCTGGCCAATCACAGTCAACTATCAAGCGAGAATGCACAACTTCGGGTAGTAACATGGTTGTTTGCGAATTCATATTCAGGAATCTTGAACTTGAAAATAGCCATGTGGTACTCGGGCTTTAACCCCTCAACTTCATCCCCCTCGAAAGCTCCAAGTCCCTTCCCATCTGCGCAGGGTTAAGCCTAGCTCTAGCATAGCCCTCGCACCCCCAAAAGGGAGGTTGGCCAAGGGATAGGCTAGGGTTCGATATGTGAGGGGATACCCACCCCATACCCCACGAATGTTTTCCCACTAGGGCCCATGCTCCAACCTCACCCATCTCTGCCCTGAAAAAGTCCCCCTCCACCCACAACCAAACCAGCCACCAGCCACGCTACTCTCACTGACGTGTGATGGTTCAGCAGTTTTTTTTTTTTTCGACCCCTGATTTACCCAGGTTCCCGTGGGGTGCGGTGAAAATTTGAGCCCTGCCCACGAATGCGCTGGTAGAAGGAGGGGTTGCAACGTCGCCGAGACGATCCCCTCCTTCCGATTGTGGGGGGGGCTTATCCCTTGAAGCCTTTCTCCGAAACCTCATCCAAACGCTAGCCTAACACTAGCCCTCCTCGCTGGTGGCTGCCTATCGAACAGGGCCAGCCAGTAGTGCCGGTACGCTACGTCACGTCTGAACCGTCGCTAGGCATTCGCTGGAGTCCTTCCACGCCACGCGCAGCCGATCGTCTTGTTTTCAGCACCCCCGTTCATTTCCGATTGATGCTCACTAGGTACGCTGAGCGTTGTAAGCTATTGCTACTGTCTTGCGGTCTCTTTTTTTCCTCCTGATATACCTTAGCAAGTCTCCCGCGTTCTTAGTGGCTCACATTCTCGACATGGATTCTCCTCGTCAAAGTAGTAGCACGATCAATGTTTTATCTGACGATCTCCTCGCTACCATCCTTGCGAGCTCCGTTAAGAGACCGGCTTCGCATGAATCTCGGTTAGACAACTTGTGGGCCACTGACGTTTGGCCTGGTGTTAGTTTCAATGGTGTTGTGTATGACAGATCTCTGACTGCAACGCCGATACTAGTCCCGCCTTTGGAAGCCGACGTGGCTCATAATCTCTTCATAGCATCCGTCTGCCGTCGTTGGCATCGTCTAGTGAAGCATCATGTGACAACGCTTTTTGTTAAAGAAGGTCTAGTGGTGCCTCGCGAACATCTCTCCGTCGCCGTCGCGTGCTTCCCCAACCTCACACACCTTCATCTCAGCGACAACAGCGCTGAAACGATCGTCGACGCCTTCCTTTCTCACCTCGCTTCGTCATGCCCGAAGCTGACGACTCTCCACGCGGGGAGGAGGGTTTCACGGGGAGGGAACTGGGCTGAGTATTATTGCAGGAGAGAGGAGCATGCGATAAGCACGGATGGCTTGGATAGGTTCTTCCAAGCGCTTCCTAAACTGGAGCAGGTTACCCTTTTCCACCCCCGCCAAGACATAGAACTACCTAATTCCTTCTTTCACTTGAAGCATCTGCACACGTTTCTTCTAACCAACGCTTCAGCCGTGCAGAATCCCAGTTTTACAAACCTCACTGCCCTTACCACCCTGTACGTCACTTTCCCCTGGAACCATCTCCACCTGTCCACCCTCCTTAGCCTCCCACGACTCACCCACCTTTCCACCCTCAACCCTCACCAGCGCTATGAGTCGACAGGTGCTGCAAACCTGACGCTGCCATTTTGCCTAAAGTCGCTGAATTTCTTTGATTCTTGTCCGCATTTCATCGTTCCATCAGCATCACCCTTCACCGGGCTAGAGGAGCTGCTGATTACGAAGTGCGATGAGCTGGAGACTTTTCCTGATCACATTGGAGACTTGCTGCTGTGCCTCCGCAAGCTGACCATTCGCTAGTGCATTCGTTTCGCTCACCTGCCTGAAAGCTTCACATCACTAAACCGTTTAGAAACCCTCATCCTCTCTAATTGTGGTGCCTTCACCTCCCCCAACAGCTTCGATTACCTGCCTGCGCTCAAAGCATTGGTGCTGGATGGTTTGCTTCTCACCAGTCTCCCGCCTTCCTTTTGTCACCTTACGTCTCTTGAGACACTTGTTGTCGGACTTGATTGCTACACGCCCTTTCAGCTGCCAGCAGGTTTCTGCCGCCTCACGGCTCTCAAAGCGCTGTGCTTCACGTATCCTTTAGGTCTTGCCTTGCCAGATGACATTGGGGCGCTAGCAAGTCTGGAAGCTCTCAGGTTTGATATCTGTGAGGAGCTCCGGCCCCTCCCCGCTTTTCTCACGCAGTTGTCTTCCCTGACCAGCCTTGACCTGTATGCATGCAGTGGATTCGAGCTTCCGGAAGCCCTGGGGGAGCTGAGCAGCCTAATCAATCTAAAGATCGATGATCTTCCAATCAACATTCAATCAACATTCTTCCTATGTCACTGACAAGGCTTACGACGCTTCAGACCCTGGAGGTTAGAAGATGCGAGCATGTCTCAGAAGTACCGTTTCGGCTGGATACACTTGTGGGTCTTAAGAGGTTGGAGGTAGAGGCGTGTGAGGGGCTGAGTAGACCCCCTGCCGGTCTGCCCCCCTCTCTGGAAATCCTCTGTTTGGGGCCTTTCAGAAAAGGCTCTTCCCATATGGTGGACATCACTGGGCTGTCACAGCTGAGGGTGCTGAAGCTGAACTGCGTTAGGTTGGGAACAGGGCTAACTTTAGTAAAATGACCCGTCTGGCTTTAAGACCGGGTCCTGGCTCTTTGTCTGATTGTCAGACGAAAGATGTAACACTGTCTAGCTTGTCAGACGAATCCTAAATACTCGTCTGAAATTTTAGATGAAGATATATACCATACTTTATAAATTGTTATTTGAAACATCAATGTGTAGCCCCCAATGGTCCAGTCGTTACATTCGGGTATTGTGAAGACAGATTTCGGGTTCGAATCTTGTTGCCTGATTCTATCAGGCAGGTGCGGTCATCCTTTTGGTCCGCATATATTTTGCCTTCAGACGAGAAAATACTCGATGTCTGCAGTCTCAGACAAATTGTATAAGGCTGTCTGAGAAATCAGATAAATAGAAAAAGCTTCTCTAAAAAATCAGATGAAATTAAACAACCTGTCTACGGCATCAGATGAACCAGCAAAACGTGTTCAGAATCCAGAAATTCAGACAGAAAATTTCTGATAACATAGGCCCTGGTTGGGATGTGAGTCTGCAGTGAGCAGGAGGTTGGTGTCAAATGTTGTAGCCTATAGTGAGGTTTGTCTTAGGGGGTACAAAACTTAGGGTTAGCTATATGTACCCCAACCAACATCAATGCATCATCCATTCTTCATTTTGACATGGTATCAGTTAGGTTAGGATCCTGTGGGATCCCGTTCCTCCGTTCTCCGTTCGAGCCTGATCCTAGCTCTCATTCGTCCCGGTTCCGTTGTTACCGCGCGTAGTGCCGAGCCTAACGCCACTCCTAGCGCCCGCCCTTACCCCCCGTCGCGTCGCGTTCCCCCCCCCACGTCGTGTCGCGCCCGTTCCCCCCGTCGCGTCGCCGCCCATTCCCCCCGTCGCGTCGCGCCTTTTCCCCCCGTC